GAGCCCCGGCGCCGCCGCGCTCCCTCGTCCGTCGTTCTGCAGTGCCTTCACGGAGGGTCGTCTGGAGATCAATCTCCATTCTCCCTCTTCCTCCTCCTCCTCATCCTCCTCCCTCCCTCCCTCCCTCCCTCCCTCCCTCCCCTCCCCCCCTCCCCTCCCCCCCTCCGACTGGGACTGGGAGCTCCGAGCGGAGCGGCAGGGGACCGTCGAGCACTGAGCTTTGTAGGGGGCGAGCGGCTGGGGAGGGGGAGCCCCCGTGTTGCCTGCCCTGGCGTTCGCCCTCCCCGCCTTGCGGGGGGAGGGCCGGCGCCAGGGGCGCTTGGCGCTGGCCAGGTGCCTGCTGGCATGCGGGGGGTCTTTCCCCCGGTCGCGGGGTGCGAGGGAGCTGCGCGGCTCCATTCTCTTATTTGCTTCATTTGCCTCCTCCTCCTCCGCCTCCTCCTCCTCCTCATCATCCTCGTCCTCCTCCTCCTCCTCCTGCTCATCCCTCCTTTTCCCTCCTCCTCCTCCTCCTCCTCCGTCCTCCTCCTCCTCTTCCTCCTCCTCCTCCTCCTCCTTCGTCCTCTTTCGTCCTCTTTCCCGTAGCCGTTTGGCTCAGGATGCAGGGGTCTCAGGTTAACCAAATGGTTACCGCTGATCCGCGGAAGGCAGGACGGATTGGCTGTTCGGCACATGTTCAAGCTTACGCTGGGGGAGTTGGGTTCCCCCGCCAACGTTCGTTTGCCACGATCCAGCCGCGCCAGCGCGTGGCTTGCCTTCGCCCGAGGGGCTGTGCCACACTGTTCTCCAGACGATTCGGCCCTGTGGGCTTGGACTCGATGGCTGCGGGCTCCGCTGCTAGCTCCTCGGGCCTTGGCGCGAGGGCCTTTGGCCCCGGGGCCGCGGCCTCCTTGTCGCAATGCGGCTGGGCGCAAGGCGTGGCATTCGACCCCTGGGCTTCTAGTTCCAGGGCCGCCGCTGCAGTTCCTGGCGCAGCAGCTGCCAGGGCCGCGGGGCTCCGGGCGCCAGGCGCACGGGCTCGGGCGGCGGGAGAGGCACGCCGCGCGGAGGCCCTGGTGCCGCGGCGCCCACGACCGCACAGAGCACGGGAGCGTTGGGAACCGGCGACGTCGTAAAGTTTTAGTTGAACCGCGGCACTGGCGTGTTTTTTTTTTTTTTATAATTTTTGATTTGAACCGCGGTGGCCGCGACTGCTCGGAGCCCAGGGGGCGCCGAGAATTGGCGATTCTTTCGAGTTGCATGTTGATGTTACAGTTTGTTTGTGAGTTTCGCTTTTGGAAGCCATGGCTCCAGTAGATATTGTTCGACCTGTTTCTGCGAACGTTGCTTGAGCTGTTGGTTACTAGTTGAACGTTAGCTGAGCCCTTTATCTCTTTTGAATCGAATGGGTAGTGATCAGTGTGTATTTATATTCATACACGCGTGTATACAGCCAAGTGCTGATTTTTATGTGTGGCTGTTTGAACTTTCACTGCAACGCTGTTCAACCTTACCTGAATTCACCAAACCAGCAATCACTATTGAATCTGGCGTCAAGAATTGCACGCACATATATATATATATACATATGTATATGCATTGTTTCAAACATTGGATTCGAAGAGTATGTTTCGTGGGGACCATGTTTTATCTGTTGGTTTGTATCTTGGGGCACTTGGCGGTTTCCAGAGGGCGCGCTAGGGCCAGGGGGCTAGGGCCAATGCGGGGGCTGACTGCTGAGGCCAGAGCCCTTGGGCCAGAGCTGGGACCAACTGTAAGGCCAAGGCTGAGGCAGGGAGGCTCGGGCCAGGGCGCTGGGGCCCTGGAGCTGGGGCTGGGACCCCGGTCGGGGCACTGGGGCGCGAGAACCAAGGCCACGGGCTTCCGCGCCGTCCGTTTGGCCTCTGTTCTGGCTTCCTCCGCCCAGACCCCGGGGCCTCGTGGGCCGTGGGCCATAGGCCCATCTTTTTCCGCGAGGAGGAGGAGGAGGAGGAGGAGGAGGAGGTGGAGGAGGAGGAGGGGGAGAAGGAGGAGGGAGGGAGGGGGGAGGAGGAGGATGAGGAGGAGGAGGAGGAGGACTTGGAGGAGGAGGAGGAGAGGAGGAGGAGGAGGAGGAGGAGGAGGAGGAGGAGGGAAGGAGGAGGGAAGGAGGAGGAGGAGGAGGAGGAGGAGGAGGAGGAGGAGGAGAGGAGGAGGAGGAGGAGGAGGAGGAGGAGGAGGAGGAAGGAGGAGGAGGAGGAGGAGGAGGAGGAGGAGGAGGAGAGGAGGAGGGGGAGGAGGAGGAGGAGGAGGAGGAGGAGGAGGAGAAGGAGGAGGAGGGGAGGAGGAGGAGGAGGCCCAGCTTTCCGCGCCCTCGCTCTCGGGCCTCGCACCCTCAGCCGGTCGAGGCTGGAGACCCGAGCGGTCCGCGGCCGCAGGCCACGCCCTGCGCCGCGAGTCCCCCGCCCGCCCCGGGGCCCTCCTACTTTTCTGGCGTCACAGGAGGTCACCACCCACCAAACCACCCCAACCCAACCCGAAGCCCTCGATTTGCCCTCCATTTCCGGTGGGGGGGGGGGGCTGGGAAAGTTGAACAAAAACACATGGGATCCGTACCCCCCCCCCAACCCGAAATGCGGGTCAAAGTCGGGTCTTCGGGTTGGGTTGGGGTGGTCTGGTAGGTAGTCAGAAGGGGGGGGGGGGCCGTACGCACGCACGCTCCTGCTGTCCTGGGCGCTGCCCTCCTCCTGCTGGTAGGGCGGCCTCGAGGCTGCCGTAGACCACGGCAGACGGGCGGAGAGGGCACCCGGGAGCGCGGCACGGGGCATGGCCAGAGCCACCCGCACAGAAGCATGTGGCACATGAAGAGGCCAAGGATCGGGGGTGGACAGACCTCCTACCCTGACACGTCGATTAGCGAATTGGCCGTTTTCGGATTCGCGAGAGGGCGTCGCGGCCGTCATGTTTGAGGGTCCAGGTCCGTCGGTTTCGGTCCCAGGCCGTTTTCACTAAAGAGAGGTTTGTCCACCGCCGAAAGGAAGGCACCACCGACATCTATATATTTAAGTCGGGCATGTCCCTCTACAGGGGGAATCTCCAGACATAGGCAAAGCATAGTATGGAGACGAGTGTTTGACAGTTGCTGTGTTTGCTTGGTGCATGTTCGGGGGTATTGGTTATTTTTCGTCCAAGATCCGCCTGTAGGGGGACAGGGCCGACCTAATAGTATCAGGAGGGGAAAAAACACACAGACACAATTAATCGGCGATCCCCAGAAAATATGGGAAAATATGGGAAGTGGGGGGGAAGACAAAAACCCAGAAAATATGAGAAAATATGGGGGATTATTTTATTTGTGTGTATTTATTTGTGTGTCCTGGGGCCCCTTCATAGTAGGCCTTCGCTGAAGAACAATCTGCAGCACTGTTCCGACGAAGGCTCATACTAAACTGCCAATTTCAAGCTGGCGGTGGAGACCTCACAGCAGTTGCCAACGAGTATCCCAGTCTAGGTCCTGATGCTGTTCTTGGTGCAACCAGTAGTACAGGTCTCACCGCAGTTCCTAGTACAGTTGTTCCCGCACATCTTGATACAGTTTCTACTGCAGCTCCTTGGCATAGTCACCAGGACAGCTCCCATTGCAGCGCCTACTAACTACAAATCGGATGATTGGCCCCCACTACATTTGATGCAACAGGTCGTACCACAGCTTGTATTGCGCCCAGTACTTCAGTCCCCCCAGAGCCCAATTTGTAGCTCTTGGACTGCTCTTGCTAGAACGATTACTATTGCTCCTTCTACGGGTCCCACCACAGCCCAAAGTACCCTTCTACCTCTGGTATTACCGCTTCCAATGTAGATCCTGCTGCGCATGTTGGGACGAGGAGGGATACGACAGGGACAGCCAAAAGGGGAACAGGGAAGAGGATAGGGAGGAGATGGGGGAGGATGAGGAGGACGACGGGGGACATGATGAGGATGAGGAAGAGGGGGAGGAGGGGGGGATGGACGGTTGAGGGGAGGGGGGGGGGGGGCGAATACGGATGAGGATGGTGCGGCGGACGATCAGAAAAAAACACGACGACCGATTACCCCCCCATCTCTTTGCCGTCCTTGGACACGTCTTTCTCCAATGCATCATCGTCCTTCTCGTCCTCCTCCTCCTCCTCTTCTCTTCCTCCTAGTCTTCCTCCTCATCCTCCGCCTGAGCTGGCGAAGTCCAAATACCACCAAACCTTGCTACACGCATGGGTTTGTTTTGTGTTTCGTCAAGATACCACCAGACCTTACTAGACACATGTTTGTGCTGCATGTTTCTCGTGTTATCAGGAGGTCCACACACTTTGCAAGGAAGCCTTGCGGGAGGAGCATGCCCACCTAACCTTAATACACTAATGTTGGTGTGGGGGGTCGGGGCCACCACCATACCTTGCTATGCACATATCGTTGTTTTTATTTTTTTACCAGAGGTCCACAATCTGGGCCAGGACGGCGTGCGGAGGGAGCATGCCGACCAACCGCTCCGATGAACATGTCTTCCTTTTGGTTTGGTCGGGGGCACCATCGAACCCTACCATTCATTTTTTTGCTTTTAAGGTCCACCAGCATAGTCTGGCCAAAGTGTGCGGACTGTCCGACGTCCAAAGTACATGTGTATAGCAGTGTTTGCTGGCATTCGGGCTTCGCCAGGTCAGACGAAAGAGGGACAGGAGGAGGAGGACGAACGAGGAGCTAGGGGAGGAAGAAGAGGAGGAGGAGGAGGGGGTGGAAGATGAGGAGGAGGACGAGCCAGAGCCCAGATGTATGATCATAGGGGGCACCAACACATATATATATATATATACACATATATATACACCGTGAGATCGGTCGATAAACAGTGAGGGCGGATACATAGACAGTGGTGTTGACAGACATACGTACGAAAGCCAGGAGATGTTCCTCTTGAGCCCCAAATGTCGGAAGCGACGCGCCGTTCAGGTGATCGGATACATGTGGCGCTCTCTTCGGCTTCGTGCCTCCTCCCTTTTCCTTACCCTCTC